GAAGCTTTCCCCGACCTCTCCATCTACCCACTAAGCTAAGACATATCTGCCGTTGGTACGACCTCGTCGAAACAGCGCGTTTTCTGTTCATACCGTTAGTTGAACTTGACCGCTACAATTAATAAATTGATCGATGGGATTTGATCTTAACTGGTTCCTCCTAATCAGATCAGATCATAGGTGAGAACATAAAATATACATATTTCCTGTGGTTGTGGCCCACAGTTCTTTCCAATCATGTATACTCATACTCTGGAATTCTAAGAGCTTTGACAATTTAATATTCGCCATTGACTGACGGAGTTCGGAAGCAACATAAAAATAAGCCCCTATAACAGATGAAACAGAACTCAGGCTGAGAAGCAAACAGCCCTTTACAGAAAAATTTGTTTTGAAAAAAAAACTCATAACATTTTAATTAAAGTACTAAATCTTGTGTTTAAGTGTAAAAATATTTTTCTGAATATTTCCCATTTCGATGCTTTGAAAGTTGCATATAAAATCTTAATTTTCTATATTAAAAAGAGATTTATGACTGTCATTAAAATTTGTCCCACATGCAGTGGACCCAAACACATGCCTGATATAGGCAAAATTAAATTATGAAAATCACATGGCCATCATTGTATAAAGTATTTTGTCGCCCTAAAGAGTGTTTTTAGAAAAAATCACAAGACCGCAAATTTATTAGTTGTTTATGTCAGCACCTCTAAAGGAATACCACTTTCAATAAATTTCTTAGGCAAGGCATGTGAGCGGATGGATACCTTTCTATGTATGTACCCAAAAAATACGAAAATATGCACATAACAGCATACCTATAAAAATGCCGCAATTAGTACGGCACTAAAGTCACCACCAAAGCAAACGAATGGGCGAGCGATCGAGCGAGCGTTGTGTCGGCTGGCTGGGCAGTGGGCCAAATACAATTTTAGTCTAACGCTTCCTATAAAAAGAGTGCATTCAGTCAGACAAACCACACACACGTACACTTCACCATGCTTAAATAGATGCAACGAAATGCGGGAAATAAAACTGAACATGCAATCAGTTATTTTTAGTTATTAGGCCCACTGTGGCTCAACCAATATACATACATATGTAGCAGTGTCATGTCAATAGTGAGACATCGACGAGTGATATTAGATGTCTGTGCGGCAATTTTTCGATTATTTGACACACTTTTTCTGGCGACGAGTGACTATCGGCTGGCAGACTCTACGTAGTGGGAAGCTTTTGCGAAGGTGGCTGTGGCCGTATGGGAATTTTCGAGCAGAAGAATGTGGAAGTCATTACCTAATCGGCTGCTACTGATGCGACCGATGCACGGCGAAATATTTCTGGAAGTTTATGAGTTTGTTCGTTGTTCACTTTAATCACCCTAAAATGACAAGCGTGAAGAAGGTAGACCCATTCGTCGCCAACGGCTCGCGCTGCTTGGAAGTTTGAACTCCCAGTCGTTTTGTCGCTGCAAAAGTAATTCACATCAAAAGTTGCCGCCAATTTTAGTTTCAGTAGTAGGTTCAGTGAATTTGGCACTTATACAGGGGGTTTGATGGATTTGTTGGATAATTTATTTTAGTTCTTTTTGGATCTTTTGTTTGTTTGTCACCCACATTTTTCTGCCGAGCGACGTAAAGGTTTTGATGTTTTCAAACACTTGAAGGTTTGCCATTGCTTGTCGAAGGGGGACTATTTGGACTGGGAATCCTGAAGGGCACTATGAAGCCCTGCCAAGTTCGGCTACGGTATGGTACGAATCGTGGTCGCCCAGCTCATATAACAATAGGCGCAGGAAATGGGCTAATTCAAAGTGGCCAGACCAAGGGTAAAGCGGTGTTAGCTGGGTGAACTTAAGCAGCAAATGAAGAGGTGATTGATGTCTTGTGAGGCTGGACAGGTAATTTACATATCGGAGTTGGCTCAGGCTAGGTAGGAGTTGAACCTGCTATGGTGTACAGGCAAAAACTGCGCCAGAGTTACGCGGGTCTCCGGAGCCTGCTGAAACCCTTCATCTGCGATATTCGGCATTCACCGGGTGGGAGTTGGTAATTGTCATTCGATAAATGCCGTTTCTTGCCGGTCTGTACAACAAAGGCTACGATGGTTAGGTCATTTATAGCGCAAGGGAGACCTTAAAAAACTACGTGTCAACAACTGGAGGGCCGTTGCCAAGGACCAGGATGCTTGAAAAAGATGAAGCTAAAGCTCTGTCCGAGCTGTAATTTATCAACTTAGCAAAATAGTTTGATCCTCTAACTTAACTTCCGAAAAATACCGGCCCCTCAAAACTCCCTCCCTCCGAGGAAACACTCCGCCCATTTCTCGCCGAGCCTGGATATCAATATTTTTATTTCTAGCAGTTGGATAAACATTTTTTCATAAATTTCTTTGGACTAATGCCTAACCCTATATGCGTAACGAATGCCCGGCACAAAAGCAACACCCACTTGCGAAATGCCCCCCTCTCAAAAGCGGCCAACCGTTTGCTCACATCATTATCACCGTCATAAAAAATTACATTTGCAACAACAAAAACAATTAAAGAGCCAAAAACAACAGAAAACGCTGGACGTCACATGACGGCAAAACCAAAAAGGTAACAAAGTGCAAACCAGGCTGTAGAGACTTCAGTGGGCAGTGAGTACACGCATACGCAGATGAAGAAGTATCGAAAAACTGCACATAAATACACTAAAATAGGGCGCAAGTGCATTAAGGCGCAACAGACAAGACATTAGGCAGGTCATTAAGGCGATCAGTTGGTGGTCTGACTCACCGGCGATGGTGGGTTGAGCGCTGGACTGAAGCATCTATTTGCCTAAGCGGCTAAGTAAACACAGCCGCAAAAGTGCTAAAATTTCGCAAAACCGCTTGAAAGCCCAAAACATACATACCGTATGTACATACGTATGTATCCGTAGAAAAATAGGGAGCTGTGAAAGAAATTAAATCAGCACCGATTCTACATACATTCGTGCGAAGGTGCAAAAGTAAAATGTAGCGCCGTTAACGCCGCCGTCGCCGCCGCGCGAATGTATCTTTTGGTAGTGGATGGGCGAATAAAGCAAAGCATTTTTGGGAGCCACCATTTGTTATTTGCACTTATCTCGTTTACGGTGTGGCCAACATAAATATTTATTTGTTTTTAGCTGGCACACTTCGACGCATAGAGGCATGATGGATAGATTTGTAGCTAAGTGTTTTGTTGCTTGGTGCGTTTGAAATGAAATTCGACAATTTAACTTAATTATAGCGCTTTAATGCATTTCCTTCATACGTACATACTTATGTATGTGTGTACGTATGTAGGTTTGGAATACCTGTTTGTCCTATGCAGTCGCTTTGTTTCTCGCACCTTCAATATTTACGCAGCATACGGCGATTTGTTGAGCAACTGCGACCGCTCCGGGCAGCCAGCTACTATTTGGTGGTTCCATTTTCAACACCTCTTTGATTTGCAAGTGTCAATGGAAATTTGAATCTTTTTCGAAAGAAGAAAAGGCACTTCAAAGGCGTAGAACTTAAGAGAAGCGGTGTGGGTAAAGTATAACAATTTCAGGCGCCGAATTTCTTCGATGTCACGATTGTGATAAACTCGTACTTTGAAAGTTCATACACAAAACTGTATTCATCGAAGATGCTCAGCACTGCACCGTCTTCCCGGAACGGATTATAAGAGCCTGACTCAATTGTATGTCCTTTGAATAAAGTTAAGCATTTCTCCGGGATTCCGTAGTCCAGAACTCTCCTGTGGACTTGATAAATCTAAAAATGCTTTGAGTGGAATTTACGGACTAACTAAGTCCGATAAGCGCTAATCTTAACCTGGAAGACATAACCATGTAATCCGACGGTAGGTAAGGCTGCTAATAAATAATGTAAAATATCTATCAAATGTGAACTTTTTCTAAATGGCCTGGCCTAAAGTGCACTAAGTAAAAGAGTGACTTTAATTCTTGTATACGAGTACCAAGTAATTGTGAGGCAAATGAATCGGTCATGACTGGTACGTCCCTTTCTGTCATAAGTATATCTAATGAAGTGGTTGTACGGCTTTTACCCTGAAAGCTGTGCCTTCAAAACAACATCTTTGAATTGGCAAACAGAAGTTGAGCTACAAAATCAACATCGGATTAACAAGTCCAATCTGGCCTACACTGAAGGAAATAATGCATAGTAAAAATGAATACTTTATATTTGTTGTATATGTTGGATTATTAGCTTTTCCTGCTCGTTATTTTTAGTTTTTTTATTTCGCTCTAAGTACAAGTGGCATTTGTTTTTAACTAATACTTTGTTGTAGCGTCTTTTATTTGCTAGGTGTCTATTGTAAGGGAACGCTAAAGAGTTTTCTTCTTTTTTTTTTTTTGCTTCTGACGCCTCATTGTCGCGCTACTCGACGACAGATGTGGAACAATTGGTGGCTATTTGAAGCATACGTCAACTAATTACTATTTTAATTTCTTCAAATAGTTAGCGGGCAAGTTTTCGGCCGATAAAGTCTTTAATCAGAAAGAAAAATGAAGAATGAGGAAAGAAAATTTCCTCAGTAGTATTTTACAAGTGAAAATATATTTTAAATTGAAACACTTATATTTGTACTATTATAGAATGAACAGGTGGATATTTTTCATTATAATTTTAAATATTTGGGTTCATAATTAATTTTTTAGAAAATATTTTTTTGGCTTTAACAAACAAAATATTTAAAAGTTATTAACTGTTCTAGCACATGTGTGACTTCATTGGTAAATGGCGTTCCTAAAACTATACTACATTAGATGTTAATTGCTTATCTTCAAGTATGCACTTCTCAAACGGCGTACGAAATCGTCTAATATTATTTATCGCTAATCTAAGCACTCTACTGGCGCGAACTGACTATATTTTTTTTTTTATTTTAAAAAATTTTTCAAATTATTTTGTTAAACCTTCTACAAAAACGTAATTTCTAGATATTTATACAAGTATTTGACTTTTTTATTTACCTTTTGCAGAAAGACTTCACCGACGACTGCGTCTTCAACGAGAACATGGAGCAGCACAACTACAACACCTACTCGTCCACATTCAATTCGAATTCGCGGCGCGTCTACTATTTGGCGCTGAATCGACACGGTGAGCCGCGCAAGCTGCAAATACCGCCAACCCGCTCGCTCGGCAAGCTGGCCACCTACACGAACGCCATCACCGAAACGGTGGAGGAGGAGCGCGTCGAACAGCTGATAGCGAAGAATTTCGGCGAGAATCGCATTAAGCACGGCATACGCCAACTCTGTGATACGGGCAAACCATTGATCGACCTGATCGATAGCAAACACTTCAAAGCGCACCCCAAGTGCAATCCAAATTCTAGCAATAGCAATAGCAATAGCGGTAGTAGTAGTAGTAGTAGTAGTAGTAGCGGTAGCAATAGTAGCACTAGTGTGAGTAGTAGTAGCAAAAAGAGTAGTAGTAGTCCATTAGGTAATAGTGATAGTGATAGTCCTAGCGGTAGTAGTAGTATTAGTGGCCAATCAATGAACAACGTTCCTGCTGCCAACGAGAGAGGCGAGTCACAGAGCAGCGCAGTCACAAATAGCCATAGTCACCACAGCAAGGGTGGCCAGCGGGGCGCGGATGCGTCCAATAGCTTGAGTAGTAGTATTAGCAATAGTTCGTCAGCGATTAATGGCGGCCATAGTAGCGGTAATAGTAGTCAGAGTGGTCAGGGCCGTCAGCACAACAATGGTGGTGGCAGCGGCGGCGGCGGTGGCGGTGCCAAGAAAAAGAAGAAGCGACGAAAATGCCGGCCGCACGAGAAAGAGGAGGAGCATAATTGCCAAAGGAACCCGTTAGCGCTGCGCAAGCGCGGCAATAATCTCAACAATAAGAAGTGTCGAGAGCAATTAACGCTTCAGCAACAGCAACGCAGGCTGCTAAAAGCGAAGGGTGAAGAAGTGCCCGATATGCCGCTGCCCGCGCCATGCAAGAAGAAGAAAAATGGCGGCGGCGGCGGTGGCGCAAAGAAGAATCGCAATAACCAAGCCCAAAATGGCAACAATCGCAACAGCGTGAGCGGCGACGCAGCCAATGCGAACAATCGACGCGGCAAGAAGCTGAATGCGAATGGAGGCCGACAAGCGGGTGGTGCAGGCGCTGGCAACCGCAATGGTGGCGCGAATCGTAAGCGCGCGCGAAATGGTGGCGGTGGCGCGCAATCGCAGAAGAAGTTGAAAAAGGGGTCGTTGCCGAAAGCGATTAACGGCGGCGCGACCAGCACAACGCAAGCCACCAGCAGCAGCAGCACAATCACCACAGCGGCGACCACAATAACTGCGCGCGATAGCACCACAGTGGCGGCAGCGCTGGCGATGCCGTACACTACCACAGAGATGAGCAGCAGCGAGCTGGATGACAGCTTGGATCCGCGCGCAGAGGCAACAAGTGTGCGCGGTGAACGCGAGCGCGAGCAACGCAATGTGCGCTACAGCAATTCGATGGAAGACGATGGCGCGCAAGCGAGTGCGGTGGGCGCAGCTGATGTTGCCGGCTCGCCGGAAGACTCCACTGAGGCGGATGTCAGCGAAGAGGAGGAGCATGAGGGCACCGTGTCAGATGAAGCCGATGATGCGGATCTCAATGCTGACGGTGACGAATTGTATGACGAAAGCGAGGAGAGTGTGGCGGCAGTGCCGCCAGCTGCATCAGCAGCAGCGGCGAGGGCGGCAGCGGCAGCGGCTGCGAGAGCGAGAGCGACGAGTGGTGACAAGGCGACGTTGGCGCGCGCGCAGCTACTCGGAGACGCAGATGATTTTCTCTACTACGACCAATTCGATTTGTGAGTTTCAAAATTTATCTTATCTGCTTAATTAATTTATGTATGCTAATCAACACTACCACAAATCCCACAAAGACCCACCCATACACACACACAACCACACACCCGACCAACACCTAAACATCCCCAGTCACCTACAAAATATACGCACACACAAACACACCAAATCATCTCCTTATCCATCCATGGCTTCCCATTTGCTCTTGAGAATTGTTTCCATACAAATTCTTATGTTTAATCATTTCTTTTTATATTTGGACATCTTTTTTTTTTATTTTCAATGGAAGTGCGATTAACAAAAAAAAAGTTAGATTTCTTTACTACTTTTCAAAATTTTTATACGTTTTTGTTTTTGTTCATTTGGTCTAAATTAACATTGGCAAGTCGTTTTTTCAAAATTCTTACATACCTTCTTCTAATATCATTCACCACCTACTTGGATATGTGTTTGAGAATTGGCAATAACTTATTTTTTTTAGATATAAAAATTATTAATATTTTTATTTTTTCGATTACAAGTAGTTGGTGGTACTTTTGGAAATTTAAAGTGTTAGGACTGATTTTATTTATTTTTTGTTTTAAAATCCTACTTGCATTCTACAAATCTCCCAGCAAAACCTTGTAAATGTGTGTAAAAGGCAAAGAGAATGAAAGAAGAGAGCAAAATGCGAAAGAGATGTGTACAAAATAAGTAAATAATCTATCACTTACTCGTTGTTATTTAAGCCATTTGTTTATAAGAATATAGACATGCGTACATTTGTAAATTGAACCATTAAAAGTGAATAGAAAGTTGCATATTTAGTAAATAGTAACTACATTTATAGCCGAACACACTTAAGTGCATATTTTTGTAAAGCAAATAGCAAATGCAAATCGCCAAAACGAATTTGTTAATATAAAATAAAAAGGTTTGTAAATAAATATTTATGTAAGTTGTAAAAAGAAACACGAAATTATAATGTAAAATGTATTTCAAGTAATGCAAAAGAACGCACAATGCAAGAGAGTTTGCAAAACTATCCGCATGCGCATGCGCACCAGCACCACCAGCACCCAGAACAATCTAACAACTAGCTACATTTGCACACCATCTACATACAAACACACCTGCTCATTCACGGCACCTTCATCAACTTCATTTCACACTATCGTCTATCATCTTTTCATACATATATATACACATCCAGAGAAGAATTCTATGCCTGAGGATAACAAACGAACCGGAAGTACAGCCTTATACCCGCAAAGTGCGCCAAAAGAAGAGCTTCGGGGCGAAAGAAAATATTTCTACAACAACATATTATTGAACAACTTTGAACTGGATTTGTTAATGCTTTATAGTCGAAGAACCCCAAATGAGATTATTAGCTTTTAACCAAAAGTTGTATGTATTTATCTTCCTGCAATAGTTCTTTGCTTTTAAACACAAAGAAACATTTTAAAGCTCGTAAGTTTTTTATATTTTTTGTTTGATTTCACTTATTTCAACTTTTTTTAGTAAGGACTGGTGGAAAAGAGAAGCTTTTAGGTATAGAAAACTTAAAAAAGCACTTCGTGCGTGCAAAGTTTCATTCGATGCAGACCCATAATGAACTGAGAGAGCTTTTACTATGTGCAAGTCAATACCAAACTTAAGGAAAGCTTAAAAAAGCTCTACACATAAGAAATGAGATGCTTAACACCGATCCTACAAGTCGGGATATATTTCCAAAATAATTACGATCAGAGAGAACTTTGATTATTTGAAGCTCTATACAAAAAGTTTAGAAAGCTATAAAAAGCAGATTGATTTCAACATTTAAGATCAAAGCATATCCCGCGCAAAAAAACTTGCTGAAAATTTCGCTAAATTTAACAAATACGTACGTAAACATGAAGGCGTGAAGAGCATTTTTCAAGTTTTCTATGGGTTTTAGATTTCATATGTGCACAGGCATTGCAAAAGCTCTATATTTTCGTTACAGAAAACTCCCAAAATAATTACGCGTGTGAAACATTTTGGGTATCACTGATTTACATAAGTATCTGCCATCAGTCCAAACAATGATTTTCATTTAATATGGTTTAATCGTTTAGTAGAGAGCTACATATATTTCTCTGTAGTCCTTCGTGAATTTCTCTTTCCGAATTAACCAAGGAAAAGGACATTAATCTAAAGTGTTTAGCCTGGAGGAGTGGTCTGGCGGTTCGAAACCAATGAAAGCTCTGAACTGGATAAAACCTCCACCTACTTTGCTCTTAAGGCTTTAAATGGCATACATTTTGAATTTTCGGAATCTTCAATCAGACCAATATTAAAAAAATATATATATTTACGTTAAGCATTGCACTGTAAAAATTCATTTTAACAAAGTCAAAATTTTTTTCTTAATACTTGGATTTTCTTTTTTTGGAAAATCGCACAAGGCACCAAGAACGCGTTCCGGTTTTGGTTTAGTGCTGAATGAGAACAAAATGTGTTGTCAAGAACGTTCCCAAAAAAGAATCAAAAGGGGGCCAAAGTATTGAGAGCAGATTGAACGGGAACAAAATGAAAGCAAAAGGTTCAGGAACTTTTCCGTTAAAAAAAAAAAATTTAAAAAAACTCACGGGGACGTTCTAAAGATGAACATAACGAGAATAAAACTTTTTGGAACAATTTCAATGAGAACAAAATAAGAAAGAAAGTATCGAGAATATTTCCAAAGAGGATCAAATGAGAACAAAAGTCTGGAGGACGTTCTACTAGAGAACGAAACGCGAACAAAAGTTTTGAGAACTTAACGTTAAGAATGAGAGAGACAGACGTCTGCGCGTTGGGATGAAAAATTGTTGCAGTGAGAACCTTCTTATCCTCTTTATTGGCGCTCGCAGTGAGAACCTTTATTGTTAATTCTGAAGCTGGATAATTTTAGCTTACCAATCTTATACCATTAGGGTGTACTGCCTATTTATGTAATAATTTTTTTATTTTCTGTGCACGAAAAGTTCGTGTCTTAAGTGTTTCGTTGACTTCATTTGCACAGTTATCTTTCCGTTCTTTATTTGATTCATTTTAATATTCAAACATTTCAAACTAATGGAAGGCTATGATAAAAATTTTGTTCCCGCTTCCATTCTCCCCGACTATTTCAGAGAAGATTTGTTCCCGTTTCTTTCTCTGTAAGAAAGGTGCCGAGACTTTAATTCCCAACTGGTTCTTAGAGATACATTTACTTAGACTTTTGTTGCCATTTGTTCTCCTAGAAATGTTGCCGAAAGTATTTTGCGCATTCTGTTTTCTCTTGGGAACGTTCCATAGGGGTTTTTCCTTATATAATTCCCGTTGAGAATGCTCTCAACTGTCTTATTCTCACTTTCGTTTTTTCTCGCAGATTTTGTTTTTTCATTCTTGTTTGGGTTCTAAGCGTTCCTGTGAACAAAACTTCGAGAACGACACTTAGTTTCGATCATACCTTTTGTTCCCTGTCCCTGGTATGTATGTACGTCTGTTGTACAACATATTGGAAATCAGAACTGCTCGACTTGCACAATTTCAAGGTAAATCTCCACCAGGATTGTTTATGGAGCTTAGTAGTTTCCCATGCCGATACTCATCGTTTAAAGTGCACCATATAGTAGAGCTTTCGCTAAAGCTTTCACTAAAGTACTTAAAAAGCTTTTGGAAGTACTGCAAGCGTACTCCATTAAGTGCTTTCAGTAATTTGACTTTCTAAAAATCACTGCCATTTGTTTTTTTTTTTTAATTTTTCCGCTTTAGAGAACCTAAGTACAAAAAACTCATAGATACCCTTTTTTGTAAAGAAAAAAAATCTAAACAAGCTAACTTAGTTCTTTTTGAAATCCAATTTCTAGGCAAATAGTTCATCAAGATTTAATTTTTTCGAATTACTGAAAAATAATTCAAGGAATAAGATACTTGATTTGCCAATAATTTTAAAGTAATTTTTTTAATAAATAATTTCTCTATGCTTCGCCGCAAAACAAAGCAATAACACACAAAACAGACTACATACATACATAACTTAGTCATCACATTATCACTTATCATTCCCAAACCTCATCTGCATATAAACCACAACATCTCAACAACTTGACAAAAAAAAAACCGAAGTAAGTATAAATATTTTGGAATAGATTTAATTGAAAGCATAATGGATGCGGATAGAATTGTTGTATATGCTATATAAAATGCACTACTGTGCACACACGTCACCCATAAACTCCCAGATGTATGAGACTAAGATCAAGAAGCTTAAAAAGTAAACGAAAAAGTAATCAAAACAGCCACAAACACTTAACAGGAAATATGCAATATTAATAAGCAATTGTATAAGAAACCTCGCTGCCTCTCAGTAAGTAGATAACTGTATGTATAAAAAAAAAATAATGGAAAATAGCAATAAACAAAAAATAGTAAACAAAAAAAAAAAAACACTGAACTAACGAAATGCGAAACAAATCGAAATACGAAAAGAATAGAGTAACTAAAAAGAATGCAATTAAAAATGCTCAAAAAATGCGCCTTCAATGAAAATAGTATTAAGTATTAAGAGGATGAAAATATAGAACAAAAAAACCAAAAAAAAAATTACAAAAAACAAATATAAAGTAGTGAAGTAAATAAACCCAATCGCACAATAACGCTGCCTAAATTATAAAATAATGTAAAAAAAATAATAATCATAAAAAGTTAATTAATAATAAAATATAAAGTTGGCAATATAAGCAACTTAACTCAGCTATGATTAGTCTATTTTTACTTGAATATTTATTAAAATCCATACACTTATGTATATTTTTTAACGTAAACTTAATTTTATTTTGTAATTTTTATATTAATTCTTTCTCTAATTAAGCAGCTAACTAATAAAATATTTTGCTAAATATTTAACCTAAAAAAAAAAAAGAAAATGAAAAAAAAAAATCGAAAACTAACACGCGAGCGCATATACATCACACAAACACTTGCATACACACACGCGACACACCTATGAAAAATATACAAACAAATTTTTAATTTGTAAAACGAAAAAAACTTTTTACCATTAAGTTTTATTTAAATTATTTTATAACTTTATTAAATTCTCAATTGTTTAGTTTATACTTGTAAAGTTTGCGAGAGAGAGAGAGAGAGAGAGAGAGAGAGAAAATCAAAAGAAATTACTGAGACAGACGAGTGGTCAGATCGAGGATGCAGGCAACAGCTGATGATTATAAGCAACAAAACACTGCATAACTACTACATACACAAACACACACACACACACACACATATGCAAATGTGTTTATTTCATGTAAATGTAAACAAAAAATGCAATATTCTTAAGTTTTTTTTTAGGTTTAAGTCCAGAGAAAAAATTAACTATTTAATGATAAACAGGAACTTAATTAATGAAAATTGCAATGATATTGATGATGATGATGATGATGATGATAATGATGATGATGCTAAAAATGAAGTTGAAAACAAAATAAGCAAAAATAAATGAGATACATTCAACTAAACAATATTTTCGTAAAAGATTTATTATTTAATTGCTGACAACAAATGTGAGGGAATTTGCATGATTTCTTTTTTTTTGAATACTTTTATTCGAATTTTGTAGAAATTGAATTATTATCGAATATTTTATTAAATACTATTTGTGCGTATTTAGTTTTTTGTAGCTGCTTATATTTGCATGCATGTAAAATTGTCGTACAATATGAGGAAATTTGTATTGCACACAAACATGGAAGCTAAAAACACTGTCAAATAAAAATGTGCTTAAGGATATTCTAAGAGGATGAAGTGTAGTTAGTATGTACTTCTCCGGCAGACTCATCATTCTAACCGCCAATTGAAACTCTAATTTACGCAGCACGAATACAAAAACATTAACAGACACATTGATTGTGTGGATAACAACGGGACAGGGGGACAAGGGGAGAAGGCGGCGGTGTAAATCGCAAGTGTTTGTTGGAATTTTCTATGTGTTTTTTTTTGTATTTAACATTTTTTATAATGATTTATGGAGTATGAGTATAACAAAGGAGAAGATGTGATAAATTGCTCTTCTGTTCAAAAATACATAAAATTTTTCATGAAGTGGACCAGGCTGTTGCATTTAAAACAACATACGCGACAACCTAAACTACTTTAAACACTTAGCAACATATTGCGAGACATCTGTATATTGCTGAACTCATGTTGCTGGGGATATGGATGCCGCATTTACTGCTGCATTTTAACCCCAATAATATTATTGTGCAACTTTTTTGTCTGCAACATGTCTTTAGCAACACTTGTATTCAGCATGTTTCTGGCAGTTTTTTTTTTTTGCTTGCAGTATGTTTACAGCAACATATGTTTTAAACATATTTCAGAAACATATTTATAGATGTATGCTGGTAGGAAAACTACGTATGCAACACAATTTGGGCATGCAACTTGTTTTCAAAATTCAACGCGAGTTCTTAGCTACTTGAAACTTGCACCTTATTAGGCTAGAATTTAATGGGCTACAAAACTGCAAAATTAGAATTTTCCTTAAGATTATTAATAAAAAGTTTGTCGTTGCTTTAAAATTTCGTAGAATTTTTCTAATTTTTCTATAAAGTTTGCAATTTAAACCAACATAAATATATGGTATTTGTTAGATAGTTAGCTGCATTTTTATAAAAAAAATAATAATAAACATTAAAAACACAAAAGAAAAAAATTGTCAAAACTGGTGAAAAGGTCGTGTCCCTATTATTTTTCACATAACTGTAGCTCAAAAACGTCGAAAGTTTCTGGGCTTTTACCCAGCTGTTATTCAGAAGCATAATAAAAATACTTTCGAATTTTCAACTTTTTTATGGCTAGCGAATCTTTGAGGGATTACTTAGTCTACATTTTGTTTTCGAGGCCCTGCCGAAATATTGATATAAGGTATATTCAAAACAGTAAAAAAAAAATTGCTAAAAAGTTATCATTATTGCGCAACCTTCACTTCTTTATCTATTCAAAGAAAGTCGCATTTCAGTGTTTTGTTATACTCACTTAGAATCAACAAATTTCATGTTTTTCATAAACAGATTACAGTAGCTTTAGTTAATTTTTTTGTGTGTTTTAATAACAGCCGAAGCTAATGCATATATACGTACGTTGCAAATATGCAGTGAAACTTCGATATAACGAAATCTAAAGGATTGTTCATTTACTTCGAAAAAGTCATACAACCAAAAGTGTCGAAATTATTTTCTAAATCATTTTTTTATTAATTCATTGTTCTCTTTATATCTAGGTCTTACTGTATTTAGTCCCTCTTTGGTATTTTAATTTTTTTTTGGTTAGTCATATGTATGCTCCACAACTAATGAATTTCATTTCCCGGTAAGTTGCGTGAACAGAAATCGCTAAAGGTTCTTTTATAATAATCGAAATCAGTGATGGTCAAAACGTAGCACGCGCGGAGAGTTTAAATTTTTTGCATTTTCAACCAGTGACAAACAAAGAAAAAGCCCTTACACTGAGCTTTTGAAGCTCTATAAGGGATAAAAGCTCTCTCAGGTTGATGCGTTTTTAAATAAGCGATGCCCAGAAAGAGATTTTACCCTCTGCGTGCCGACATTCAGTTTATATAATACTTTTCAGCACTTTTTCTGTAAGATATGTCTAGATTTAAAATTTGTCTTTATTTTAAGACAGACATAAAAAAAAACATAGCCCGCGAGAAAAGCTTTTCAAAACTTTTTATACACAGCTTTTATATCGACGCGCACACAGTAAAAGCTTTCTCTAGCAGTCACTACAAACAATATGTAGATGCGTCGGGTGAAGTTGTTAAAAAAAAATGTTACTTTCAGGAAAAGCTTTTACTTTGCGCTTAAGGGGTGAAAGCTCTCTCCGGCCATCACTGATCTATATATATGTACATACAAAAAAAAAAAATATTGATTTTAAGTGGCATGGATATTATAGATTTTTGATTTCATACTACTGCATGTTCTTTCTCTACTAAATACTAAAACTCAGCTTGCTAACTTTGCTCTGTTGATGTCTTGCTTTCCTTAAATACTTGCCTGTTACGCATGAAATTTCTCGCAATGTTAAGCATGCTCTGTTATTGCTAGTGTTGATGTGAAAAATGTGCATGTGAAAAGTGCTTTGTCTAACTAATTATTTATCCTCATTCATTGGTGTTTTTTTTATTTATTTCTGTTTATAAAAAACTTTCAATTTTATTTTTCGAAATTAATTTTTACTTGAATTTAACAAAAATTCTCTATGTATATTCCTACGCTTAGTTGTTGCTTTTTATTATAAATAAGTATGCGCTGCAATCCAATCCCAAAACGCTTTTCTCAATTTCTCTCTTCTCTCACCCATTTTTTATAGCTTGCCATTTGGTCTGTGGAAATTGCTTGCGATCTCTTGGTTGACGTTTTGGACGCTACAAAGGCGAGCGTAGCACGTGTGAAAAAAAAACTAAAAAAAGAATAGCTTCATTGGAAGCCCCCCCCCCACCCGTTTTTAAGATAAAGACAAACAAAAGCAACGAAATTCTAAATTAATATTCAAATTTTTTTTAAGTGTAGCGTGCTTTGTAATGCTGTCTCGTAGATTTTTGCTTATATTCACTTATGCTTACTAAAATTATTGCCTACTTATTGTATTGTATACTTTTTGAAAGCAAATTTCAATGCCATCAAACCAGAAAATAAAGGCTAATATATAAATTAAAATCGAAATCTCAAATCCTACAGGCTGTAGCTCGAACACTTTCTTTATTTTTTGGGCAGAGCTTTTTGTTAGAAAAAAAACGCCAACCCCAACAAAAAGCCTGTGAAAGTGCAATCGATGCTAAGACAATGCCAGCAACGGAATTCATAGTTACTAAAAAATATTATTAGGTACTTGAGTAATGTAAAAAGGAAGAAACTTAGTAAGAGTATAATGAATAGGAATAAATTAATTAAAAAATTTAGTTGCGCTACTTAAAACTAAATTATTTGTATTTTAAGTCAAAACAATCAAAATATGTATTTATAAGTAGTTATAAAAATATTTACTTTAGATTTTCATAGTCCTTTGGTTCCTCTATAAGCATAAAAATACAAAAATTTATTGGTATTTAAGTTTTATTTAAACTTTT